ATTACCTAACTTCAGAGGGACTGGAGAGCATTATGCTGAATGAACTAACTCAGTCCCACAAGGATAAATATTGTATAAGACCATTATTGTAGAATGAGTATAAAGAGCCAGAAGGGGTGGGAAAGACTGGAAGCAGAGGGATATGGATGTACAGGGGGAAAAGGGGATTAAGCATTGGATTGTACAATTTGATGGGCGGGGTGAGGGAAATTGAAAGGATTTGTTCGAATTTGTATTAGAATTTTGTAAATAAATTAGTGAAAAAATACAAAGTGTAAAAAAAAAAAGGTTGGGCTTTTTGGATTATCAGGTGTTGGGTCGCCTCTGGGTGGCCTCAAGCCTCTCTCTTTTTGGCTAGCAGTATACCACATCAACCATTTGTACTGTCAAGTAGACTGCCAGAATTTTTTGCAAGTTTTTATAATGAGGTAAAGTGATTCAGCAAAAAACATAGTTAATTTAAATCATGTTGACGATATTTCTGGGTAAAGTGGTCCAAACAAGCAAACAAATTTAACTTGGCCTATAGAGATCAAGTGAACTAAGTAATTGTTAAAATTCTACTTAGTTTAAGAGAGCACAAACACAGCTAGAGCATAAGGTGTGTTTTATTTAATTTCGTCTTCACTATAGAAAACCAAATCCTACTCTAAGACTTCCAATAGAACAGTAATGACAATAGGGAATTGAAGGTCCCAACCTCTCCTTTTGGGGCGAGGGAAACAGCCTAGGTAGGATTGAATACCAAACATTTACAAGCTTTGAAAAAAGAACTGATTGGAAATTGCTCCTGAGAGAAGATCAAAGGTTGGAGCTTTGTGGAGAGAGGAATGGGATGGTTTTTAAATCAGAAGGCTTTGTCAGTCAGCTCAGCACAAAGCATAAAGGCCTGTTCAGAGTAAAGAACAATTTTGACATCCTGAATGAAATGAGGAGGAAGATATATAAGAGGAGAATTTAATGAACAAATTTGTGTTTTTTAAAGTATATTTGATCCTTTTTAAAAAAACAAAATTTAAAAAAAAACCAACAAACCCAACACCAAAACTTTAAAGATATAGTAGGGAGCTCTGGTGGTCTAGTGGGTAAGGAGTTGAACTGCCATCCCAGCAGTTGGCAGTTTGAGTCTACTAGCTAATCTGTAAGAGGAAGATAGATGTGATTCCCCGGTGTGGTTTACAGCCTCCAAAAACCCACTAGAGGGTCAGCTGGGGGTTGGCTGCAACTTGACTGCAATGAATGATTGCTGTTTTTATAGCAAATGATGCAAAAAGAAACTGTGATCTGTCTAGATGTACTCAATATATGGTAAATTGGGAAAAGCATTGGGAGTCAAGTCAGGCAATCCACAGTTCAAACCCTGACTGCATCTTTACTAGCTATGTTGGAAAATGTACTTTTTCTGAGTCTTTATTTTCTCATCTGAAGAAAATGAGATTCTGAGGTCTAATGACAGACATATAATAGGAATGAATGAGACATTTCACATCAAGTCCTAGAAATAGTGTTTCTGAGTGAACTATAAATAACCATTTCTTTCTCCTCTCTCACTGTTCAACATATAGGTAGAATAATGCATGTACGAGTCTAAAATCAGAAGCACTTGGTTTGTGTGTAAAGAAGACAGTCTAAAAAGTGATGCTTCAACTCCATTTTCACTCTTGGTATGACAATGGAATCTCTGTTGGATTTTCAAAAACTGTCCTACCACATGGATATCCCTTTAACCTCAGTGCTGCCTTGGACCGTATCCCTCAAGTACAACATTCCTTTCCTATGAGACCTGCTCTGTGCAGTATATACAATCTATTTCTTCAGTATTCTTGGCTCTACAATCAAAACTCTTGGTACTAGCATCCAAGACATCAAAAGACGAAATGCATTAAGAAAATCTGCTGTCAGTGACCTCAACAGATTACTGAAGAACAGCGTTGTCAGTCTGGAGAGCAAGGTGTGCCTAATACAGGCTACGGTCTTAACAATTACTTGCTATGCATTAGAAAGCTGGACAATGACTAGAAATTAAAGAAGAAGAATTGATGCCTTTGAGTTGTGGTGCTGGAGAAAAGTATTGTATATATACCATGGCCTGCTAGGAGAACAAACAGGTTCATCCTAGAGAGGGAGAAACCAGGATGCTCTTTGAAGGCGAGGATTCTGAAGCTCTCTGTCTGACATACTTTGGGCATGTTGTAAGGAGGGACCAGTCTTTGGAGAGGGGCATCATGCTTGGGTGGGGACAAGAAAGGAAGACCCTGGATGAGATGAATTGACTCGGTGACTGGAATAATGAATGTGGGTGTGTCAGAGATGATGAGGTTGGCATAGGATAGAGCAGGGGTCAGAGCTGTTGTACGTAGAGTCACTATGAGTTGCAAAGGGCTCAATAGCACTTAACAACAACAGCAACAACAAAGGATTTTTGTCAGTATAGACAAGTAGATGCAAGATATATAATTCTCTGGATCTTTAGAGTCGTCCTCCAGAAACAGACATAATTGTAGTAGAATAGTTTCCCAGAAAGACTCTTTCTGTACACGGTACCTGGAGTGCCCTGGCATGTACCTATAACCAATCATTTAATCCCAGTTGGATTCATTGCTCCCAAATTCTCACTTCTAGGTATTCTGCCTTTGACTCTTCTGATACCCTTTCAGCTAATTTGAATTTTGTAACCTTTAGTTTCTAATTCAGCAATGTAAGAATGTACCCTGCCTTGTGCTCCAGGAGAGCAGGGCTTTTACTCTGTTGGACATCAATGGATGTTTCCATTGTTTTCCTCAATAAACTTTATTTGCCTTTTTTCCATCAGAGTCTCTGATGTTGTTCCCTTACAATATGGTTACTCTAACTGCCATCTTTAACTCTTAGCATCCAAGATGTAATAGTATAATTAATTGCTGTCACTAACTACCAATAATAAATAACTAAGCACACTGGCCATGAGGTGAAGTTTCCCTTCTCAGCTAATTACTAACATCTGCCCTTATTTCTTAAAGTGTAGTCAAGGGATTAGCAGTATGAGCAACCCTGGGAACTTTTTAGAAATGTAAACTCTCAAGGATCACCTCCAAAAGAACAAACCAAATCTACTGTCAATATGTCAGTTCTGACTCATGATATAACCTGTATGTTACAGAATAGAATTGCTCTAGAAGGTTTTCTTTGCTGTAAACTTACAGAACTACTTCACAGTCCTTTCTTCTTTTAGACTAGTCACAAGACATTGCTGTGGGGTTGGTACTAACTCATAGTAAACCTCCACTGGATTTCTGAGAATATAAATAGCAATGGGAGGAGACTGTCCATCTTCCTCTAGAGAAGTTGCTGGGGAACTAGAACTACTGAAGACCCCCAGTCCTGAGGTTAACAGCACAATTACATACAGACTGTACCACCAGAGCCCCCTTTTTCAGCCTAGTGGTTCACTGATGCAGTGACTACAGCAATGGGCTTGAACATGACAGGGTTCATGAAGAGGGCTAAGTTTAGGGCAGGGTTCGTAGAGTTAACAGCAGTTGTAGTCAACTAAGTAATTCTAACAACAATAATAATGAAGTTAAGTGCAATCTGAACCTCCCAGGAACCCCCTAAATATCCTGAATCAGGATCTGTATTTTTAAAATAATCTGCATGTGATTCATACACAGATTAAATTTGAAAAGTTCTGTCTTGACTCTGTATCACACTAGGAATCACTTTACTTTAAATTTTAAATGTGTGTACATATAATTTCTAAAGGTTAGGAATGATTGTGTACATATGATTTCTTAAGATTCAAATTTCTTTAGAAAAATTTCTCAATTCCCTACTTTTAATGTTATTTTGATATACTTGGCCCTTAGGTGTTTTCGTTCATTAGTGAAAGAATTTAATGTCATTTTCAACTTTTTTATAATGGTTATTAGGAAATGTTCAGCCTACCAAACATTTAAAATTTTACATAATATTAAAAAATTAACAATTTATTTAAAAATAAAGTTATTTTCTAAAGAAGGAACAGAGAACTGCAAATTTAATCTGATAGTTTGAAATCTTTTCATTAATAAAAAAATATTTTATCCTAAGCTATTTCTAATTATACTAAAGATTTTTTCAAATTGTATTTTCCTTCTCTTCTATATACATGAGTGAACAAAATAAAAAACCAACCCTCAATAAATTTCCATTAACTTTTAGTTTTTAAATGAAAGAGATTGAAGTGGAATAATGCTGTCTCCTGTCTTTAAAAGCCTAATGTCTAATAAAAAAAGACAAGGATCTTCCTTGAAGGGGTTTAGTGTCTCAAATCTGATGTTTGGGGGGCACCTTAGGATTCTCATTTTCCAAACCAATGAAGCTGAGCTAACACTCAGAGCACTGAGGAAGGGAAAGCAAATGTGGCTGGTGATTAGAACCCTCACCTATTTGGGAAAGAGTAGAGGTTACAGTGAGGAAGAGTTGAGAGAACAGGATTTAGAATAAGAAAAATCTCATTTCTTCTGTTGGGCCCACGATGATGGCCACAATACATATTTCTCTAAACCCCAGTGCAGTTCTACATAATGAGAAATTGTGGATCGTATTATACAAGTGAATAAATGTAAAGTACTCAGTACAGTCACTGGCAGGTAGTAAGGGCACAGAAAATTATAGTTATTAGTCTAATTATTTGTGTCTGAGAACTGGAGGCCTTTAGTTACAGAGACAGATAACATACCTTTGGTCAGATTAGGAAGGAGTTGGAAATAGAAACAATAATAAATATTGTATTACAGTATTTGGATAAAAATCTACAGCAACATATTATTGAGCCCTCAACTTGTTCCACATTCTTGTTAAAATATCTTACATATGTTTTCTGAATTCATCTTCGCAATACATATTCATCTATGAATTGTCTTCAATTTGCAGAAGAAATCCCTGAAATCCAGGTCACTTAAACCTTGTCCAAGGTCCTGTAACTCTCTTTTTTTTTTTTAGGTGTATAAACTATTTATTAACAGACAAGGCCTACAGACTTATTTCTTCTTGGACACACCCACAGCATGGCCCTGGCAGCCAGTGGTCTTGGTGTGCTGGCCTCGAACTCGAAGGCCCCAAAAGTGGCATAGCCCTCTGTGGGCACGGATCTTCTTCAGTCGCTCCAGGTCTTCACGGAGCTTGTTGTCCAGACCATTGGCCAGAACCTGACTGTATTTCCCATCCTTCACATCTTTTTGTCTGTTCAAGAACCAGTCTGGAATCTTGTACTGGCGTGGATTCTGCATAATGGTGATCACACGCTCCACCTCCTCTTCAGTAAGCTCTCCTGCCCTCTTGGTGAGGTCAATGTCTGCTTTCCTCAACACCACATGAGCATATCTTCGCCCTACACCCTTAATGGCAGTGATGGCAAAGGCTATTTTCCGCCGCCCATCCATGTTAGTGTTGAGTACTCGCAAAATGTGCTGGAACTTCTCTGGGATCACTAGAGACCTGGCAGCAGCAGCAACGGCAGCATGTAGGCCTCCGGTGGAAGAGCATAACTCTCATTTTTAGCCTTACTACCTAACATCTCAAACCATTGAAAAAGAGAGTCTATTACGGATGTTGAATTGAAACATGAATTTTCTGTTATCATCTCTTAAGACACAGACATGAGATCCAGCACAACCACACAAAGATGAAGGGAGAGCTGAAAAATCATTCACTATGGCAATGGCAGCACCAGCAAGTGTGTGTTTATGATAAAAGACACATGGCAGTTGTCCTCGTCGTGTTGTTCCTGGTGTGGTGCTGACTGACTTCTACACTGCTTGCGTTCTTACAGTTTCTGACCATTTTCTAAGACCAGTTGCCATGTCTTAGCAGAGATTTTATTGCTAATTATCCTGCTTGTAATTTGCATTTCTGCATAAGAAGGCCATATTGGTTTCTGTTGCTTACAACCAGAGAGTTTGTCCCTTGGTAGATACATAGCTAACTAATCTAACTTAGATTCCCATTCTTTTATCCTTCTTTCCTATCATACTTCACAGAATTCCAATTTGAAAGGAACTTTAGTAATGAAATTAAAACTCTTATCTTCATAGATAATTGGTTAAAAACAAGGACTCCAAGGGGGGAATTGTACCTAGTCAGAAGTAGCAGTTGCTGCATTTCTATTTACTTCTTCATGATGGTTTGTGTTTTTTTTTTCCCTTGACCAAAATCACACTAAGTCATCTTCAAGTTTGAAATAGTAAGCACATGGTGAGAAGGTAGAGTCATTATAAATCTGTGCCTGTTTTCCGTGATAAATATGATAATACTGTATTAGCTAGTGTAGCTACTTTCTTTGTTGCTGTATAGATACAGCGTGCACAAAAATTGGAACAAAATAGAACCTGTCTCCTGTTGGCAGAATCATTCCAAATAAATGACAAGATCCTTAACTGAACCAGCCACTGGTGTAATCCTGAATTGCTTCAAAACCAAGTTATAATTTATGACAAGTTAAAAAGCACTGCGTTGTTGTTGTTGTTGTTGTTGTTGTTGCTGCAGTTATGTGCCATCAAGTCGAAACTGACTCATACCCATCCCTCCTGTTGGCTTTCAGAGGCTGTTAATCAAACAAAGAGATTTCCCATTCTTGTCCCACAGAGCAGCTGGTGGATTTAAATGGCATGCCTTTGGTTTGAAGTATAACTCTGTACCACTTGGCCACCAGAACTCCCAAAAATACTGCATAGATATTAAAATATGAGTACATTTTAAATTAAATTTTGTAAAAACAACCCAAAGCCTCTAAAATTCCATGGGAGTGGTTAAAAATATTATTTTTTTAAAAAGTATGCATTTCTGTTTTCCAATACCCAATATAATAAAACTACAAGTAAAGGATAATTAATGACTTTGAACTATAGTGTTGAAAAAGAGTACTGAATAGCCCATGGACTGCCAAAAGAACAAATAAAGCTGTATTGTAGGAAGAGCAACCAAGGCGCTCTTTAGAGGTAAGGATGGTGAAACTTTGTCTCACATACTTTGCCCATGTTATCAGGAGAGGTCAGTCCTTGGAAAAGGACATCATGCTGGGAAAAGCAGAGATAGGGTCAGTGAAAGAAAACACTCTCAGTGAGATGCTTTGATCTAGTAACTGCAACCTTAGGTTTGATCATGGTGGAGATAGTGAGGATGGTTCATGATAGGGCAAGGCTTCCATCTGTTCTTCATAGGGTCACTATGAAAAGTAAACTCAACAGCACCTAACAACAACAGTGAGTCAAAATTACAAAGAGGAGGAAGAAAATGAATGAAAGATGCAAAGGATCTTCCCTGTTCCTATAAAAGGAGTACTCACATATTTTCCAAAAGGAGGAATATCCTGAGAGGCAGTCAAATCTGAAGGGCCGTGGAGCTCTAAATAGGCAACACTGTTGTTGTGGGCTGTCTGGTTGAAAACAATTCACAGCTAATCCTCCAGAGGATTTTCAGAGACAGTAAATCATATGGGATGGTCCATCTTTCTCCGTTGGAGCAGCTGGTGGATTTGATCTGTGTGCCTTGGGGATTGCAGCACAGCCTTTAACTATTAGGCCACTAGAGTCCCATGAAATAGAAAGCACTCATCACAGCAAAAGGTGAGAGAGAAGAGTTACATTCAAAATCATACGATTACCTGTCTATCTACAAACTAGACCCTGAAAACACATCCACCAACTCCAAGTTTCTTACTCTAGTTCAGGTCCTAAAGCCTTGGCAGCTAGACATACTCAACCAACAAGAAATCAAAGGATTCATCTCAGGGATATTGATGGTCAAAAGGAAAAGGGCTCTAGAATAGTGGCATCTAAGAGCGTCCCAATAAAATAATTAGATACTCACCCTTCATACTGAAATTAATAGCTTTAGCAATTGACAGGTAACTCTCATGCACACACTTTTAAACAGTACTTACTGTTTTGTTCTTGAATACAAACCAAGAATCTTCAGATAGTGGAGAAAATCTCTATCATTGAAAATCAGAGTCTAACCCTCGATAATCCAGAACAGAAGGCTCTGGTAAAGTATATTCAATATTTTAACCATAAGGACTTCTCACAGAAAACACTGGAAATCTTGAAACTGGTTATATCATTAAGATGTAGTGGCCACTGATGAATTTTTGTGGTGATAATTTCAGAGAATTGTCTTATCTGTTGTGAGGACACTTAACCCAAGGATAGTCATTTAGTAACATCACCTGGATTCATTTTAGCCCTACCTTCCCTCACAAAAGCAAAACATGGCCACTCTAAAAAACTAAATGCTTGACCAGAGGTTTATATCAAATGAGTAAACCCTGGAAATGGAAGTTATTTCTGAGGTTCAACAGTCAAGTGACCATTCCGGTAAAAGAAAATGCTGGAAATTGAAGCTTAAAGGAAACATTCAGAAAACAGTAGCACAATATCCCCTGGCAAAAGATTAACCTTGCAAGTTAATTCCTGAAAGTTCAATTTCTGTTAAGTTTTGAGACATGCATCTCCTAAACTGATAAATAATCCCAATTAGTAAAGCACTTTCAGAGTAAACCCGTCAATCTGTAGTCTAGGCTGAGGAAATTGTTTCTGGTTTGAAAATGGAGGTGGGGAAATGGCACAAATGTGTATTAAAAACCCATAGAACTTGACCTACTAATGTAATTTTGAGAGAGATTGGTCACTGAATGAGTTATATAAAATGCTTTGTACAACTCTTTTGTTAAGATGTTTTAATAATTTCTTTTTAATTTGTCCCATTGTTAACTAGAAAGAAAAACACAAAATATTCTTGCTTTCCTTTTCCAATTTTGTCACTGTTAAAGGACATCTTACATTTGCAAAGGTAGCCCCAAAAACCAAATCTGTTACATTAGTAAAGTCAGAGGAAGATTGATATCATTTTCTCCTAGTAATCATTTGTCTATGATAATGGCATCAATATATATCTGCAATTGAAGCCTACAGTGACCACTGACATGTTCTGAAACAATAGGCCAACTTCTTATTTTTCCCCATTCTCATTCTACCTTCAAACTTCCAACAATCATAACATTTTCAAAAAACTCAACATGTCTTCTGCAAACTCTTTGATACCAAGAAGGTAGAAATGCAGAGAAGATGGTTTCTTAACGTATCCTCAGAGATGTGGGAATAGAAAGATTCAAATTTCGATTCCTCTGCTTTGCAAACTTTAAGAGTAAGGGATGGTTTTCTCATTGCTATTAAAATGCTTATATTGCCTTGGAAGTACAAAGCAAACTGTGAAACAGAATTTAGAGGAGAAGTCTTGCCTTTTGGTTTACAGATACTCCACTTTCTGAATTGACATGCAATCCCAAAGACACGTGATTTGAATCCACCAGTTGCTCTGCAGGAGGATGGACAGACTCCTCCCCTGCAATTAACTGCCTCTGAAAACCAGCTGGAGAGTCAGCTATGGGTTGGTTCTACAACAGTTAATTAAAATGATTAACTTCTGAAGCTCATTGGACTGAGTTTGTTTGGATGAAATTGGCAACAATCAGAAGTGAGAAGCAGCTGAGGAAAATGGAATGCCTGCACCCTACATTTTTTATATTTATTTTTTTCTTTAAATTTATTTTATTTCATTATTTTTTGTGTGTATAGTCAAATCAGATCTGACTGGTACAGGAGGAGATTGTTCCTCCTT